ATGAATATAATTGGGACTAGCGAGATAATTAAGTAGCCATTCTTGCAAATTCATTATTAAAAATGCATATGTACACTTATGAAGGATATTGTGACTAACAATTTATATATTTTGTGAATGTTTCACAAAGCTTTTAAGTGCTTATAAACTGGTGAAACATCATTTTTCGACCACATATTTTTAGAACTTTTATCTACTTTTAAACACAGCTTTTAAGTGCTTATAGTTGTCATTGCATTAAAAGGAAAAAAAAAATCATCTTCAATACTTAATTCAATTGGGTTGAAGACCTGAATTCTGATTGCCTATACTTCTTGCTGCTTTTTCCTTCATTTACTTGCTTTGTTGCTCTGGGATGATGTAACTTAGCTAAATCAAACATTGATTCTCTTCTTGAGGTTAGATTATTTAAGAGAGAATGAGATTCTCTAGCAGTGAACTCCGCTATATACACCGCAATATAGTGGTGTATCTGAAAGGGAGGAACCGCACATTGTTAGATATGGTTCGATCAATGATGAGCCATGGAAAATATCCCAAAATCGTCTTAGGGTCATGCATTAATGATGTTGTGTGCTACACACTAAATCAAGTCTCATCTAAATCGATCAACAAAACTCTATACGAGTTATAGAAAGGGGAAAGACCCAACTTATCTCACGTGAAAATTTGGGACTGTGACGCTTATGTGAAGCATAATGAATCAGATAAGCTTGAGGCTAAATTCGACTGTGAGATATCCAAAAAAAAAAAAAAAAAAATTGGATGTCAATTCTATAATCCTATTGAGAAGAAGGTATTCATCTCAAGACGTGTCGTATTCATAGTGAAAGAGTTTATTCTAGGATATGGTAATGGGAGCTAGATAGAACTTAAAGAAGTTCATGAATCCACAGATATTGTTAATCGATTAAATGAACCTGAGTTTGATCTCACACCCGCTGAGGAACGAACTCTTGATCAAGATGTAGAGATTCCTGAGGACACTCTGGCTCAGCGTAAATCCAGTATTAATCAAATATTTATAACTAAAGAATCCAAAACAACTAGGAGAATTAATACATGAAAAGTTTAATATAAAGTGAAGTTTCAATACAACGGGTAAAATCAATAATGGAGAATTTGGAATGAAGTATTAATCAAATTCACTTTGAAGTCACTTAAAACATCTTCAAGTCTACTACCAACTCTCAATACTCCTTCAGCAGTATTTCCAATCAAAATCTCAATAAGAATTCAAGTCACAATGCAATTCTTACGTTCCATTTATGAAAAGAATCTTATCACTGGTCCATTTTCGGTTGGCTTAAATCAATGCTCTAAAAAAGGGCATTTGGTGTGTTTTTTTGCACCTTTTATTATTTATTTTATTTATTTTTTTATGTTACTCTTTTATGTCTTTTTCTTTATTTATTAAATGATTTTTAGATTAATTAAAAATTTAAAATAATATTAAAATAAGAAAACGCTTTTTTATATATTTTATGACTAGGCTCGCCTAATCGAAGTTTGACCTCCACACCACACTACACCTTGCCACGCTTTACTCTTTTTAGATTACTGGATTAAATAGCAAAATAAAACAAAGAGAAAATACAATAAGTAAAGAAATTAAATAAGAAGCTTTAATCATCCCAATTTCGTGTTGCCGCATCTCTCAATGATTGAAAAAATTCGTCTGCGAATCTTAGGCTTGTCATCACTTCTCACGTTGCCACTGTTAATTGTAATTGATGTCTTAACATCTCAAAATGCTCTTGATCCTCTTCATCTAAGCTAATTGAAATAAAATTAATTGCAACAGTATATTCAACCCTATGTAATTCTGGTCTAGTGTTTTTTGCAACATGCGTCGGTCGAATTGGATGGTGAACATCTGCCATCAATCCCATTCATGACCCGTCTTTCTATGAAAATGATCTCCTAGTGACACGACCCGTATTGAATCACCCTAGTTGACTCGAAACATGATGTGTCCATAATAGATGCTGACTAGGTCCAGAGCCATCACCAAGGCTGACTATGAGTTGCTACAAAATATGCACCAAAATAAAATGCTCATATAAAATAGAATGCAATGGGCCCAAAAAAATTACTTTGTGGTTTATAAAAATGAATCATATTACTCAATATGTCATGTGGCTACCACTTTGAGATCCTCAGGCTCCTGCAATTATAAAGACCAATCGTTACCTATGGGAAAAAATTGTGGGAAAATATATGAGTTGATAACTCAGTGAGTGGAGAAATTCAAAAATAAATATACTTTCTCCTTTATACATTTTTTTTATCGAAAATTGAGTAATAACTCACAAGACAACATCGTACAATTATAACCAAAAAGTGAGACATCCTTATGATTCTGGACAATTATCAATCCATAGTCATGATATAATCACTAACTTAATCCATATTATAATCTCATCACATCACATGTAATCCACAAAAAAATGTATCCTCTAATTGAAGTCTGTAATCCGCCCTCGGGCTAAGTACTTTTGCCACGGGCTTTGGGGCCCTTCTGTGAATGAAAGCGGGTCTCAAAGACCTTTGATAATCAATTTTAGGACACGGTTAAGGTCCCTCTATGAACTATATGTACACGATCAAGATCAATGTTCGGTCTAGACCCCTCCGTATGGATAGAATAGGACCAAGACCCCTCTATAAACTATAAAAATTGTATAATCACGAGTACTTTTCTGATCAATCCCAATATCACATCTTGCATTCCATTTCACAATTAATTCATATACAATCTTCGAGTTCCACATATATCATAGTGAAAGAACATTCCTATATTAATCATAAAATTGAACAAATAATTTACATAATTACACGTAATGTAATAATATAAGTACTTTATCAATATTTGAAATTATATACGTTTTTCCACTCAATGAGTTCTCAGCAAAGAACTAGCTAGGTCGGTAGGTTTTCCCCTCTTCTATATCCACCTCCTGAATTAATGATATTATTAGATGAATCAAAACCCAACCATGTTAAATAATTAGTCATCTACTGTGAGTTTGGTCTCTTGCGTACTGATTCAAACAAAATATTATATTTGAGAGGCTGATTGCTCCTATTTGCCTTTTGTCTTTATTTTTCCTTCATTAATCGTACAATTAACTAGACATGTCCACCAAATCCATTTCCCATACATTCTTCTTTAATTAACTTAGTTCATCTCTTTCCCATTTAACTTCATCCAAACATGCACATCACCTACTGCCATCTATATATTTTAAATATAGACAGTTTGCTAATCAATTTCTCTAGCTAAGAGCATCAATTTAATTATCTTAATCTCAGCTTATATAACATCCATATCATTTATTTTCACTAACCTTCAAGTCAAAAGAAAATATAGAACATGGGCCTTAAATCTCATCACCCATCAATAAATCTTTCTTTTTCTACTATCTACTAACCGATTTTGATTTTAAATGCACCACATATGATTAAATTCCATAACCCTAGTTAAAAATAGTCTACCTGCTAACTTCATATTTAAGCAAATTTTCCATACTTCAAGTGACATAAATATTAATTACTTCCTGAAAATAATAAAAATTGAGGAATGAAAATCCCAAGCTTAAAAACTGACAACTGTTCCTTCTTTTTCCTTTTTTCCCCTCTCTGCTTCATTTTCTTTTTTATCTGTTTCGAGTTCTACAGTGAGAAAATGAATAAGAATCCTTATCCATTTTAGGTGGATAAATATAGTGTAATTGAGCCAAGTCCCTGATCTTGGGATTATATAACAATTAGTCCCTTTCTTTGTACTATTAGGGAACTAAATCCAAAATTTCCTATTTTATTTTATTCTTTTAGCCCTTTAAATATTAGTAATTACAAGTTAAGCCCCGTAAAATTATTTGTTCAACTTAAGTCCTTATTTGACTTTGACAAGTTGAATTACTTGCCTTTGACTATAAACGAGTAGAGTGTAACACCCAACCTTTGTACTATATCAATTTTCTCAACTCAATCAGTTTGGCCCAAGTACCTGCCTTATCATGCTGGTCTCAAGTAGCCAAAATGCCACCAGCTCCACCTTCTATATTGCCATCTGCTTACCATTCTTAACCATAACCTTTTCGTGCATACGAGTATTTACTACGGCTGAAGCTTCATCACAGAAGTTGCACACTGAAATCAAGCTTTAATGTTACGAAATTTCAATATTTTTTCGAAAATGCAATGCTTGCCTGGAAACATACAGCCACCACAAATTCAATGTCACCTTAGCTCTTTCAGTGCAATGTCAACCTAGATGGACTAATAGGCTGCCTATGAGTATCTCAATCGCCTTCTCTGCCTTCTTTACAATGATATCCTCATTGTCGAATTTTTGCTTCTGTAGTAAGTCAATCTCCGAATCAAAGATGGGAAGATCGTCACACTAAGTAGAACAATTGGACATCCACATCTCAAGACTAAAAGGGGTTCTGCAAATGTTATCATCGTGTAAAATGACTCCTGCCTACTATTGTATTTAACGAACAACAACCGGTCTCTGTTAGGACGTGAATTTTCTCTGAAGTAAATGGATTATTTCTTCTAGTAGAAGCTCTATATGGGGGTAAGCTAGGGGTGAACTGAAATGTTTTTGTTGATTGAGGTTGTCGACAATTGGTGGACTGATTGGGAGAAATGTGGAGTAGGCATGATTATCTGATTTTACAACTTTTTTGTTAATGAAAGTGGGGAAATGATTTGAAATGGGGATTAAATTCAAGATGTGTAAGTTTGGTAATGCAAGGAAACTAAATTATATATTTTTTGATTGGAAATTTAAGAATTTTGGTGGGTGGATGCAACATCAAATTTTGTGAAAAGAAAGCTGGTTAGATATCTCGCTACATTCTATTCTTGTTAGTCGAGATTAGTGCTTTGATACTATGTAGAATCTAGAATTAACACAACGTTTTGAAGAGAATTAAACACACTTCTATTAATTTTTTGATATTCGATTTAAAGAGGGAATCCACGAATAGAGTGAAATACGTAAGAGACAACTACTTTTATTGATAGGTAACTATAATATTGGCTAATTACTAGTACACAGAAAGATAATTATGGATATAAAGATAAATTATTTATTCAATATTTATCTTAGCTAATATTTGTCGTTCTCTTTAACAGTCACAAGTAGAGGAATCTTTTTACAGACAGTCTCTCCAGGGGATTCTGTCATGTCCAAATCTTTTTCTACTTCTCCATGCGGCAAGGCAAAGTTAAAATTAAGCACCAATTTTGCTAATGCAAGCTCATCGACGGTCATGGCAAATGTAATTCCAGGACAGCCTCTCCGACCGGCACCAAATGGAATGTACTCAAAATTAAGCCCTCTATAGTCCATTCCCGTGTCTAAAAATCTTTCTGGACAAAAATCTTCCGGATTTTCCCACGAAAATGGGTCTCTTGCGATTGCCCAGGAATTGATTATCACTCGGGTTCCAACTGCAATGTCATAGCCTAATATTTTGCTATCTTGTGTAGATTCTCGAGGGAGTAGCAATGGAGCTGGAGGATGTAGTCGTAGACTCTCTTTCATCACTGCCTTTAAATAGAGCATTTTATCTAAATCATCCTCTGTTATATCTAATTTACTTCCAGCTACTTGTCTCGCCTCGTTCTGCAATTTCTCCATGGATTTTGGGTGCTTCAATAGCTCTGCCATTGTCCACACCAAAGCAGAAGATGATGTATCTGTCCCAGCCACAAACATATCCTGTTCATAAAAGTGGTATGTAAGATCCAAATATGCTTTAATGGTCTATCAACAGATCAGTGAGCGTTTTCTCACTTTCTGTTGAAACAATTCCTTTTGCCGTTAACGAGTGAAAGAAATCCGGGGTAAAAACGTGGGAGAGTATCTGTACATCTTCTCTTTCAAATGCCTTGATTGATTTAGGTGATCAAGATGAACTTTAGTAGTATTCTCTACAAGAAAGACTAGATTTTTACCAAATTGCATTCAAGTTTAGAGAAAATTTAAAATAGTTCACAAAATGTCCAACAAAGTATGGTATTCACTGCTAATTAAGCACGTGTACACATTCAAACAGAGAGAGAGAGAGAGAGAGAGATTCTCACAAAGATGACAGCTTTGATTGTATCATTTTCTATAGGGGAACCAGCCACATTTTCTCTCTGAATTTCGAGCAATATGTCCACAAGATCTACTTCATTGCTGCTGTCTATCACATTTGTCTCTTCTTTCTTCCGATGTCTGTGCTCTTCAACTACACCTTCGAAAAAATCATCAAACCATCTAGCCAATTTCTCTACATTTGCATCGAAACCATTAACGCGGTTAATCCAGTCAAGCCATGGAATGTAATCCCCTAGATTAAAAAAGCCTGCTAACTCTTGAAATTCCTTCAGCTTTGACACAATTTTTGTGCTTTCTTGTGCATCAATATGTTTCCTCCCCAGGGCCACTCGACATATGATATCATTAGTAAGTGACACAAATATATTGCTCAAGTTTATTGATGATGAAGAAGAACATTTAATTTTCTCGATCATAAGGGACATTTCTTCTTCTCTTACACGACGAAAGGATTGAACCCTCTTATTACTCAAAAGCTGTAGCACACATATACTTCTCACCTGCCTCCAGTACTCACCATAAGGAGCAAAAGCTATGTCCTTAGAGCCATAAATAATTTTGTCGATAACTCTCAATTTCGGCCTGTTTGAGAAAATCACGTCCTGGCTTTTCATGATCTCGCGAGCTGCATCAGCAGAGGAGACGATTAGTACTGGCATTCTTCCCAGATGGACCAACATGAGTGGACCATAGCTTTTGGATAGCGCTTGCAGTGAGCGATGGGGCAATAGGCTGAGTTGGTGAAGATTTCCAATTACGGGAAGCTTTGGTGGAGATGGTGGCAATCTTTTCCGGGCTGTTGAAGAAGGATTTCCATACCATTTGAAGAGGAAAACGGTGAACAAAATTAAGGAAACAAGAGGAACTATCAGATGTGAAAAAGAAATCATTTTCTTTTAAACACAGAATTCATAGGATGCTCTACTATTTAATTAGGCAGACATTCAGCAGAAATCATAATTTTGAAATTTTCATTTTCATCTCTATTTGACTGGTGGATTTGATATTGTACAATTCAATCATGAACATCCAAATTAAATAAAATACAGATATATACGGACAAAGACACATCCTTTTGGTAAAGTTGTACCACACATTTACATATCCATATCCATATCCTACCATATACTAGTCTTTGACAGTTTTGTATTTGTTGTATTTTTATTAGCGTTAAAATTGTAGATTTTTTACTTATAATTAACTTCTTACATTTTATAAATATTTTTTGTCTGTATTTTTATTTGTTAATAATTTCTTACATAAAAGTGATTGTTGGAAATAAAATAGTGATAGAAAAAAATATCAACAAATAAAAATATTACTAATAAACAAATTCAAAGAAAAAAATTAGTCTCCATGCTTAGAAGTCTCAATCCTCCGTAATACGAAGGTTTGATCTCTCCATAACAAGAAACTTGATCTCTCATAACAAGCCTCCGAAATCCTCCGTGATACGGAGGCTTGATCTCATGGAGAGATCAAATCTCTATAATAAATATGGAGAGATTCCTTTGATATATTTTTTTTATTTAAATGATATTTTATTTATAAATCATCTATTTAACATATAAGTTAATATTTAATTTTAAAAGTTAAATGTATTTAAATATTTACTCCAAATTTTTAAGTTAATATATTTTTAAGTTAAAAGTAATTTTTACAATTTTAAGTTTTTTTTTTTAATATTAACTTTAAGCGAATTTTTTTTTACATATAAGCAACTTTTACATTTTAGAAAGATTTTTTGTCTTATTATTAGTATTTTTATTTTATAATAATTTTTTACACAGAAGTGATTTTTTTACTTATAAATAGTTACTTTACAATTATATGCTATTTTTTTGCTTTTAAATAACTTGAAGTAACTTTTTGCAACCTACAAATATTTGTTGTCTTATTTGTATTTTTATTTTTTTAATAATTTCTTACATAAAAGTGATTTTTTACTTATAAGTAATTTTTAATTATAATATAATTTTTCTTACCCACATGTAATATTTTACCTATAAGTAATATAGTTGAGAGATGAGAGTTGGTATGACGTATGGAAAGTTGTTTGTTTCAGCTTATAATTGTAAATAACTACTCATGAGTAAAAAAATAACTTTTATGTAAAAAATTTATTACAAAATAAAAATACTAATAATAAGACAAAAAATATTTCTAAAATGTAAAATTTGCTTATAAGTAAAAAAATTCGCTTAAAGTTATTTAAAAGTAAAAAAAAAAACTTATAATTGTAAAAGTGTTTACCTCCATAATACGGAGGCTTCATGGACCATAATATGGAGGCTCATGTGTACTTGAGCCTCCATAATTACAGAGGCTCCAACGTACATTTTTTTACTTTCTTTTTCCTTCATTGGCTCTCAGTACAATAATTTAATTTCATTTAATCAACTTAATTTTTTTAATATTCTTAAAATAAAAATATATAAAATAATGGAGGCTTACTCTTTCTCCATTTTTACACACTATAACCATGCATCTCTATTTCTCCACACTATCACTTTCACCATTTTCTCACGCTATCAACCATGTATCTTTAGAAAGTTTATTTTTAAGCACATAAGTAAGTTTAAATAAAAACATTGTTTTTATATATATACGTAAACGGTATATAGTAACCATTTGGATGACCAAAAAATAATATCAATCAAAATGTTTACGAACCGTTTAAATAATAATTTATTGAGATGGTTAATTCAAGAGCAAAAATGTGAATTCCATAAATATATAATTGAAGAAAAATAAATTCTAAAAAATGAAGACCAAACATGTTAACAAATGAATATATTTATTTTTCGAAAAATGGGTTTTTAATACCATTTCATTTTTATCATGAAATGATTCTAATCTTAATATATTGATTGTACTTCAAAATTACATAATCTATCAAATATAATTTTTAAAATTAATTTTTATAAAGTAATATGTTTTTATAATTTTTTTTTTTGGAAAATGTGAAATATAATAGTACTAAAAAATATAAAATAATTAAATATTTATTAATTTTAAAAAATAATATATTATGAGGATCAACATGGAGGCCTCATGGCCTCCAGAATTCTGGAGGCCAACGTGGAGGCCTCAACATGTGAGCCTCCGTAATTCTGGAGGCTTCCAGAATTGCGGAAGCTCAAGTATGAGCTTCCGTCAACATGAGCCTCCATTTAACGGAGGCAGACATAATGCCTCCGTTAAATGGAGGTTCATGCTTGAATCTTCATAACATTACTTTACTAAAAAAAAAAATTCATAAAAACATATTTCTTTATAAAAATTAATTTTAAAAATTATATTTGATAGATTATATAATTTTGAAGCACAATCTAACATATTAAGATTAGAATCATTTCACGATAAAATGAAATGGTAAAAAAACTTATTTTTCAAAAAATAAATATATTCATTTGTTAACATTTTTGGTCTTTATTTTTTAAAATTTATTTTTCTTCAAACATATTTTCAATCATATATTTATGGAATTCACACTTTTGCTCTTGAATTAGTATGGAGAAATAGAGGGGCACGACTGTAGCGTGTAAAAATGGAGAAAGATTAAAGAGAACTCTATAACATAATCCTCCACGCCGCGTAAATTTAGGAAAAGCAACAAAATCACTGTATCAAACACATAAGATAAACGACGTCGTTGCTTTTTCTCAATAAAAAAAAAGCTACAGCGAGACAAAATGGAAGAATCTACTTTTTTTTTACAGTAGTGAAACATTGTCCTTTTTATATAGTAGTGATACATAAATATAAAAATACAATAATCAAAGAGAGAAGTTGTCTGCCACTACTTATAAGGCCTCACTATGCCATAATGTTGATGTCACTCTTTTATTTTATTTTATTTTATGTCCCCCCCCCCCTCGCCGGGGGCTTTGTACATAAAAGTTGGACGGTCAATAGACGTCGTTCTCCTACCGACCCTTTTGGCACTTCATTTCTCATAGTCTCGCCCTTCGAGAGCCTCTTCTCGACGGAGGAAATACCTGCCAATAGCCTAAATTGAATAGCAAATTGTGAGAGTAGGCCAAAAAATATAATCATTTGAAAAATAGCCTTTAAATAATAATCTTTCCAAAAATACCCCTCATAGAAAATTTGCAACCAAAGCCATTACAATATATAAAAATCTTCAATTAGGTCCCCAAAGAAATATAGATCATAAATCTTTAATAAATTTAACCCCAAATATTATACAAAATTTTATTGATCTAAGAAATGCAACAGATAATGAATTAAATTAGTTAAAAGAAGATCTGAAGAGTTTCTTTACAGAATATCTAGATCCAAAATTAAAATATAAAAATGTTTATATAGATAATAGAGCAATTAAAATAGAAAATAATATTCATAAACAAATTCTTAAACTGGAAAGAAGAATTAACAAATTAAATATAATTATTAAAGAAAATGTTTTAACAAAAGATGGTGAATTTTATAAATTCTATTGTGATCTTATAAATACTTATGAATATTTTAATTGGATTCAAAATCTTAAACCCCCCCTCCGCTGCATGCTCCGATGAAATGGTATCAGAGCCATATTACGAACCTAAAATTATGATGAACATAGTTGATGAAGAAAATATAATTGAAGAATTTTTGAAAAAAATTGAAAAACATAAAAAACCAAGTTATCCCTACTTACCTAAAAATACCACGAATGAAAGCTTTGAGGATATACATAAAAAACTAGAAAATTTAGAACATAATCTACAAGTAGGAAATGCTCTTTTAGATAAAAGCCTTAAAGGAAAAGATAGAATTATAATTAATCCATCCCAAGATTTTAGGATAACACAAAAAGAAAATAATAAAGGAAAAAAATGAAGAAAATCAATATATGATTACAGATGTAGAAGAACTAGAATAAAAATTCTTAGAATCTACTGGTGAAGAATATAATGAATATAAAAAACAGTTAAAAGAATTAACTGAAAAAATGAAAAATACAAAAATGAATACTAATCCATCTACAAGTCGAAATATAAAAACAGAATTCAGTAGTGATGAAGAATACGATTATCCTTATTACACGACAATACCTCTTAAATAAGGTGTTAATCAATATAGAAAAACACATAAAAGATACACTGAAAATATAAGAAAACAATTCATAAAAGAAACAAATCCAATGAAATCTTATAATGAACAAATCCACACAACAGGAATATGGTTAGATCTAGACTGTGTAGATAAAAATAAAGCTATTGAAACATGGATGAAAAGTACAGACTTAGCAATACAATTTAATAAATGGAAAACATAAGAAACAAATTGAAATGTGTTGAAATAGGAGGAGTCCAAATAATGGAAAAAAAATTCTTTAGAGAATGTATGAACATACAAATAGAAATATAATGTATGGACAACAGAATCTTACAAGATCCTATAGATGCTCTATTAGAAATAGTTGTAGGAAACTTAGTCTATCAAAATATAATATTTACAACAAAACCAAATTATGCAATATCGCTAATTGATAAAAATATTGACCAAAGTTTCAATCTATATTATAGAATTGGAAACTTAAAAATGTTACGAAAAAGTAAGGCTATTAGTATAAGTATAAAATCAATTTTTGCTTTTAGTACTAGCCATCATAACAATCTAAGAAAAATAACTGATAATATTATCATACATAAAGATTTTGAAGAATTAGCACAATATATACCTCCTAGGAAATATCAAGAATATGAAGTCACTATACCAGAACAAATAATGCTTGATTTCCACAAACAAGCTAGAGAAATTAATTCTAAAGGAAAATTGATAAGAAGAAATAGTGTCAGCCTAGAATGAGATAATCTTATTGCAAGATTCCCCTCTAGACAAGACTCTAAAATAAGTAAACTCCAGAAATTAAGTATTGCTGAACCATCAAGTTCACAATATTATATCAAAACAAGATATGTAAATCAAGAAGGATATAAGAAGAATCTTCTTGTCCTCATTGACACTAGAGCAGATAAAAGTCATGTAAATGCTAAATTTGTTAGTCATT